AGATAACAATCATCAATTTTTTCTCATGCATTTAAACTTTCAAATGGTGTCAGCAAATAGTTGTACTATTTCTCTGGCAGTGGATAGTATAATGACACCACCTGTCGTTTCGATTATTTCCATCAGCGCCTGAAATCCTATTTTCCACCAGGTACAATCTTCGTAGGGAAATGAAGGCTTCATTTATGGCCCAACAAGAAGAGGATTACCTTTTTTTCGCCTCGATAGCTATCCAGAGTTACCAAAACGTATAATTTCACATTTTTTTAACTTACTATAGAGAGGCGCCCATCTACTTCCGACCCATGGGACCTTATTTTGGAAAAACTATGTATTGAAGTCAATAGGGAGAGAAAATGTATCTTTCGATCCCGTTTGAATTGTGCCACGAATTACACATATGATGTTTGTCAATCTTAAAAAAAGAATTTCCATTTCAAAAAAGTCACAGTTTGTCGTAAAACTGTTGAAATATAAGACTATGAAAAAACGCAACTAAAAAGACTACAAATCCCAGAATCTCGGTCCCGCATGCTGGCTCTTACGGAACCGACTAACTCCCCTTGTGTGTATGTACAGCTCTCAACATGCCCAGACTTAGTGATTTTCACCTCTTTTAATAGTTTTCGCTTCATTCTGAAAGAAAGAAAGAAGTGAAATGTGCTAACGTGACGGCCGTCATGGTGTGTGTTGCGAGACGGGAGATGTAGTTCATTGAGCGTTTCACACAAAAAAAGTGTTACTTCACAGTTTTAGGACACATTTAAAAAAAAATTACTTGCAAAATTATCTTTTAAATTGACAAACATCATACGTGTAATTCGTGTGGCACAATTCAAACGAGATCGAAAGATAATCTTTCCTCTCTCCCCATTGACTTCAATACATAATTTTACCGAAATAAGGTCCCATGGAGGTCCCCCGGAAAGGGATGGACTTCGCCTCTCTATAGGATATGTATATAACAATATATTGAGCCGACTTTAAAGTATCTAAGGCAGAGGTTGCGCTAGACTTTTTCGCTGCCCGCCATTTTGACGGACAGGATCGTTACATTTCCGTCAAAATGCACCATTACCTGTCGGCCCTTACACAACTCTGACGAGGGGGGGTGGGGGGTAGAGAGAGAGCACGTTAACTGTCAACGGGGGGTTAGGGCCGGTTTATGCATGCCCACTGCATCTCGCGGGAGCACGCACAGCTTAAAACTTGCAGACATTTCAACGATCTGTACGGCAAAGTTTGGTTTGGAAACGGTATCATTTCCTTTTTGGCGGGCATGCATAACACGGCATAACACTGCTTTCAGATTTTTCCGTCATTGTTAAAAAAAAATCGGAAAATATTCGGTTAACGCGACCTCTGATCTAAGGTAAGTGCAGCAGTTAGATTTGATCCAAAGCTAAAGGATGTATCCCCATGTGTTTCTGGCTGCAGCCCTAATTAAGATTATATTCTTTTATATTTTTTGTTTTCCTCAGACATGGTCGGCACCCCCAAGTATGATCCTCTGTTTAACTCTCACCTGCAAGTGTGCGTGGACCGACAGATTCTCCCCGTAGCTTCAGACACCGCGGACTTCATGCTCACTAAGAAACTGTCCGTGGATCCTCTTCTGCTGCAAACGCTCCTGAACAAACTGGGAAAGCAGAACCTCTGGCCCCGCGCGCGGAGAGCCTTCAGTCGTGAGTCCTGCCCTCCGGTTTATTGGCTGCTCTGTTTAAATATTATTATGGATTCAGGATGCTCTGATTCTAGCGATGTTGATAGTAACAATTTGGCAGATTTTTGATACTCATACAAATGTTTTTTGTAGTTATTTATAATTGTTTGTTATTTTATCCCCCTTCAGGGCCAGGGCAAGAAAGACCTCTTCATTATAAATAAAATAACAGATAAATATCGTCTTTATATGTTTGAGGATAGCAGTCAACAAGGCGGAAAACCGACAGTATATTTTATATTGTTGTATCGATTCAGTTGTCGTGTCTTACCTGTCATAGAGAAACCATTATTTATTTATTTGTATTATCATTCATTTGACCTCCTTGTGTCTATTAACCTGAAATAATTTTATATTTTGCTGCATGTACCTGTGAAGTTCTTAACAAATAATCTGAGGGGAATTTCTTGTTGTTTATTTTTAACTTGTGAGCTGCATGTGTTGAATGAAAAGTGCTATATAAATAAAGCTTTATTATTATTATCTCTAATGTGGAAATGATTAGCCGAGTTAATTACTTTTACATTCAAACTTTTGTATTCACGGTTGCACCCCTGTGTTTATTCTTCAGACTCCCTGACTTCGGGCTACTACCCGGAGGTGTCCACGGGCTTCATGGCCCTGATGGTGCCCTGCTCTCTGGGGGAAGTGGAGCTGGCTCTCTGCTTGGAGATGTTCGTCACGGTCAACGCTACGGACATCTTCCACCTATCAGAGACCTCCACTTCCTGTCTCAGTATCACCCTCAAAAGGTAAGACGAGAAGGGTTTATTTAAATAGCACATTTCAACAAAAAGGCTAAAGTACTTTTAAAAACCATTAAAAGGATAGACAGATTGCAAAAGAAATGCACAAAGAACTTTCTCTGAGCACCAGCATCTTCACCAGTAAGAACAGAGCCAATACAGTTGCAACCCACCGCCTTGAGAAAAAGCGCTCCTCCCAGCGTCTTCTTTTCTGAGCGCTCATTGTTTTCAGAAACACGCTGTTGAAGTCACTTTAGAAAATGGAGGTGAAGCTTGTTTTCGGCCGTGTCTCTCAGACGGAAAAGCCAATTTGATGGAGCAGATCGGCCAGCTGTTGCTGCATTTTGTAATATTTATCGCATTTTATTCCATTCTTTTTAAATGATGTAATTATTGTAGATCAGGGGTCGGCAACCCCTGGCACGCACGCGGCACCGTAACCAGTGGCACACTAGGAATAAGTGGAATAAGTGCAAAAATATTTAAATTGTATTTTCGGATCCTGAACGAGACCGCCGCCAGAGCGCGTCTCCCCGTTACCTGCAGAAGGAAGCCATGCACGCAACGCAGCCCCGCTCTCTTTAACTCCAGGTGACTTTCTGCCGCTTTCCTCCGTGGTGCAGTGCTGATCGTTTCACCACGGAGGAAAGCACTTCACAAATTGCAGTACCCAAAAGGAGCTGCACAAATGCCGCAGTTTTTGCGTGGCTGTGTCTTTAGTTGAAAGCCCAGTGGCGACCTGCTGATCTCTCATCGAAATAATATGCTACAAAGGGGCGGACTGGCCATCTGTGTGTTGAACTTTCCTGTCGGCTCCCAGACCGTAGTCCAGGAGGGCAGAAGAAACAAGCTTCAGGTTCAATAAGCCTAAATTAGGCTTAAATATGGAGAGCAGGGCGAAGCTCCTTCTTGGAAAGCGTTGCATTTATTAGGCTGTTTCTTCTGTTTCACCAAACATAGCATCACAGACCCTCTGTTTTTCCTGGCTGCCTCGTTCAGCTTTCCAGAAACATAGCACACGTTCGCCTCACCTGTCGCTCTACCGCATCCACAAACAGCACATGCAACAAGCCACACCTCTCTCTCTCCTTAAAAGGAGCAGGCGAACTCATTCAGCTCTGCATGAAACCTAATAATCATACACTGTGTCGGCTCTGGAAAATCAACAGAACCGGACGATCGTACCTTAATTATCGTATGCGTTAACCAATGTTAAATGTGTTCTGTTAAATTCGGGGGCATCATGTAAAGTGGCGCTGACAGGTCCACACACTGGGCTTCGCCGGCGGCTGTTGGTTGACGAGGCGTCAAGGCTCCTCCACGCCACCCCCCCCCCCGTTGATAATTCTCGGATAGTTGGCCCTCCCTGATAACAACATTTCTTTTAAAATAGGCAGCTTCAATATGAAGAAGGGCGCGACCCCTGTTGTAGATTGAGCTGTCAAAATGCTGGCTGGGGACAAAAAACCAATTTCTAACTTGCGATAAATAAAATTCCGTCATCTACCGTCCATCCCATCGCAAATCAAACACGTTAATAGTTATGTGGACAAGCAGGCCTTAAGATAAGAACAGTTCTACATGGATGTTATTGTTTGTGTGTGGTGTGGTGGCTGGTTGCATCATGTGGAGGTGTGTGGGCGCAGTGGATAGAGGCGTTGGTGTTTGGTTTCAGCGGGAGCACAGGCTTCAAACCCCCCGCATGTCGTTGTGTCCCTGAGACACTTCAACCCCAAAAGTGCTCCCTGTGGGGAATTGCCCAGCAGTATGGAGTCATGTAAGTGGCCCTTTGGATAAAAGCGTCCAACAAGTAACATGTGTAACATGTAATCTAATGTGACTCTGTACGTTTAAAACCGCTGACCGCCTGGCTCCTCCTCCTCCTCGCAGGAAGCTCAGAACCGTGAGAGGCGGTAACGCTCTCCGCAGGAAGCCGGGCCTCGCTCTCCCGCAGCGTTGGCAGGACGCTGGCCCCANAGAACTAACCAATAAGGCTTGAGGGTCACAGGAAACGTTGACCTGCTTCTTTCCTGTTGTGTTGTATTTTGAAGGGACACCGCTGCAGTATGGAGAAGTAACTTCTCCATACTGCAGCGGTGTCCCTTCAAAATACAACACAACAGGAAAGAAGCAGGTCAACGTTTCCTGTGACCCTCAAGCCTTATTGGTTAGTTCTTATTTCAGGTTTCACTATATTAGTACTACTACAGCAGTGCCAACGGAGCCCCGCGCCCCCCCTGAAATTCAAGGTGTTTTTTATTTATTTTCTTTTTTTTAATAATACATATTTATAGCACCAAATTGCAACTAATCTATTTACTGTCACATTGAACATGTGCTCATTTATTAAATAAACTAAACACTTTCATTGTAAGTTTAGTGTTTTTGACCCTAAGAAACACTGATGCATCAATCAATAACAATAATCCTCTCTCTGCTCCATAGGATTTAAAAAAATATATATCCCCCCCCCTCGCAGTCAGGCAGCACCCCCTCAACGCAGTAAACCTAGAGGAAACACTGTTGTTTGTGAAGCATAGATTCTTTGGTCAGTTTCTTGGGAATAACACCAATGGTTATTTACCCATGACAATTCCCTGTGTTTTGTCTTTATATTTCTGTTGTAAGTGTCTTGTCTTTTCTTTCATATGTTATTGTGTGCTTTATTACATGTACAGCACTTGGGCTCGACCAAAAATCGTTTTTAAATGTGCTTTATAAATAAAACTTGATTTGATGCTTAGGCCAATAATCATGTGCATAAATGAGGCCTTACTGAGGGAAGATAGTGACCGTTTTTCACGTGATGGAGCACTTACAGACTTAGATTTGTGGCACCTGACCTCTGTCATGTTGGGTGGGTTTTTGACCAAGGGCCCTGTGAAGAGGAGAGTCAAACACAGCAGCTTTCACTCTGAATCAGCAACACTGGACTGCAGGTCAATGACAAAATGAGGAGTTATCAGTGCAAGCAAGATACACGTTGTCATTCTCTCCTCACCAATTCTTGCAGTCATGAGTGGAGGGAAGTTGTTTTGCAGGGACTTCACCGTCTGGATGGGCTGGCTCCTATTACAAGACATAGTGACTGTCAAAACAATACAAAATAAAAAGGTAGGCTGAATATGTTGTGTGTGAATGTGTGCAAACCGCTACCTCTCCAAAACTCTGTTTACAAGGTTGTTGTTGGCATCAGGGAGACTCTGTTCGGAAACACAGAAACAGATAGGACGCTTTTAATAGCCAAATCAATTATAACAGTTTCTTAAAAAAGCTGCCCCAGCATAACACAATGGGGAGATGGGTAAAACATCTTTATTTCATGGAGAAAATCACAGAAAACGCTTTGCCTTTCACATATGAGTTTGCTGTAATGTCCTTTTTTTAATTTGGATTGTACTACCAACAATAACCACCACCATAAATCTTCCCTGGTTGGTTACATACATTACGACGTATTTTTGTGTAACAATCATCCTGAAGAATTTGTTCTCAATTATGCAAATGATATATTTAATATGTGATACATTTCAGTAACACATTTCTTGTTTTTATTTTGTTGATGATGATGAATGATGAAGTCAAAGCTTTTCTTTTGAGGGCATTATGGATATAGCTGTTTGTACAACTTCATAAATATGAACATACCATTCCCTAAATATGCAATTAATGCTGAATTATGGTACATTTTGGAGATATGTACGGATTCAAATAGACAAAAGAGTAGAAAAATAAACACCGTAATATGTCATTTAGATGTTTTTCATTTAGATGCTTTGAAAAAAAGACAAGCAATGGAAGCAGAGCTATCAAAATTGATCCTGGAACAGGATATTAAAACATCCTGTGAAGTCCCATGTGAATTTAGATACTTCTATATTGAAAATGTGCCCGACACTTTTTGTTATTTATTATTTGTAAATAATGATGGTCTGCTCCTCTTTTCATTCTGGACTTTTACCTGAGGGAAGGCACAGAGAGCAATTATGCAGGAGAGAAACCCTGTTAATGTTTATTTAGCAATGCCTGATACATTGCAATAAAGTGGTGAATGACAGTGTTTACTTACCACTATAGAACACTACATTAGACAGTACCTTGTTTTCAGTCGAAGGCCATGTGCTGCTTTGCGTGGGGGGCGTGTTTCTGCTACACTGAGGTCTCCATGTCCTGCTCTCCTGTTCTGTAAAACACACACAAAAAACACAACCATAGGATCTGTTTAATACAATTTTACAACCAAAAACAAATTATTTTTCTTAACATAAGGTTACTCTTTTTTGTATTATCGCATAAGTCCCTGAGCAGAATTCAGAATGAGAAGTATATATAAAATGTGTATTTTGCTGTGGTAATTGTTTTAAAGGTCGTGTTTTGGTTTCAAATGACGGATTATTGCTCTGCATTTTCTGACTGGCGCACTGGTCTTACCTGTGGCATCAGTACTGCCATCGTAGGTATCAACTGAGCTCGATCTGAAACATAAAATACATTTTTTATTGAATTTGCAATGAGCAATGCAACTCAGTAAGGATATGCTTTTAAACAAGAGACCTTACTCTTCTTTAAACTCCAGTGATGGTCCATCTATCCTGGGCGTCAGTGTTTTCACCACGCCAACAGGTCTGTGTTTAGGGGCCTCTGTGACCCGGGTGGGGCCCAGCTTCAGCACTCTCTCCTGGGGCAGCTTTTCGAACAGCTCGAAGTCGTCCTGGATCATATCGACAATTAGGATGTCCTGTTCGTAAGCTGCGATATCGTCCAGAACGCTCAGCTGAGTATCCTCTTCCACACTTTTATCCCCATCACTGCCTGCTACTTCAGATGGACTAGATCCTTCTTCTCCAATAGGACTTGGCTGTCCTTCATCACTGAGAGGCCCGTCATCGTCTTCATCACAGCTGGGAGAAGAGCAGGGTTCTGTCAGAGCTCCTGAGGCAATGCTCGCCTTTCTCTTAGCCTCGGAAGGAACTTGATCTGATTTGTTGTTACCCTGTTCCACATCATCTTCATTGTCGGTTTGATCCTGGCTTTCTTCCTCATTACCATCCTCCACCTCTTCATTATTGTATGGCGAAGACTCCACTTCCTTTGGAGTAGTTTTAGAGACTCCTTCCAAGTCTTCCCTATTATGTTCAAGATCATCCTTTGAGTTTTCATTATTGCAATTGACAATTTCTGGCATGTGACATTCAGGTAACACTTGATTGAGTGAGTCCATGTGTTGGTCCTCCTTTGCGTCACCTGGGCAATCTTGGCTTTGGGGGGGCAAAAGGCTTTGTCGTGATTTTCCTTGGGGGGAATTGATAGGAGAGAGAATCTGTGGAAACATGAACACATTCGAATCCGTTTCGTGTGTGAGGAGTTCTTCGTCACTCTCTTGCTCGACTTGAGGAAGGAGGAGGGAAGATTGACATGAATCAAAGAAGTCCGAGTTATGTGAAGGAGCAGAGGGTGAAGTCCATGATTTTATTTGGGTTTCTTCACAGGTGAACAATTCTTTATATCCAGCTTTGACCATACTTTTGATTGAGGACGTACAAGCAGAATAAGCTGATTCAACACCTTCGACTTTCTTCAGTAGGAACGATGAAAGTGTGAGCGAGGAGGTTGTGGCTGGAAGGCTGCTCGGACCACTGTGTGAGAACAGAGATGACACGGGAGATAAAGTATTGGCAGTGTCACAGTCACTCAGGCAAAGAGCTGATGGGGAAGGGGTCAACGTGGAGCTATCCGGTTCAGGTCTATCAACTGGCGAAGATGCGGCTAAGACTATGTCAGTTTGAGTCTCTATTCCTCTCTGACTTGGGTTGGAAAATGTAGCCTTATCCAAGGAGAGACTGGGTTCTTCGGCTTCCATAAGGTGAAATGCAAACTCCGTAGATAATGATGACATATTGTCATGTGTTTGCCTATTCTTCTCCTTTAAAATGCTTTCTCCATTCCCTTCTCGCTTGTCTTCCTTTTGAATGGAAACATGATGGGCTGTGATTGAGGAGGCCTCTGAATGTGGGAGTTCATCATTGGTCCATTTGCTGGATGTACCTGGCTCAATTTGATCGGATGGAGCGTTGCTGTTATTTTGAGCCGATAGATCAATAGGCTCTGCTTGACAGTCTGTGGTATGTGGTTTTGGGATCAAGCGACTGGTAGGGAAGGGCCAGGACATAAAAGTGCGTGCACAAGAATATTGTATGTTCCTGATATAGGGCCTCGCTCTCTGGCAGGTAAATGAGTCTAGTTCCTCCGTTTCAACCTTGTTGGTCTCACTGAACACTTCTGATGACATTTCTACTGCCTCCGTGTTTGTGGGGTTGTCTTTCTCATCACAAGGTCTATTGTGGACATTGTTTTCTTTCTCAGCGGAGCCAGAACAGCTGCTGTCACAAACTGCACGCTCTACACATGGCAGACTTTCAACAGACATCTCTTTGTCTACAGAGTCTGTTTCCGCTTGGTCTTCGCAAGTGACATTTTCGAAATCCGGAGTAGATGGCAACGTCCCATCTTTAACACCATGCCCTAGCTTCAGCCTTTTGTCCCTGTGGATTTCCTCTCCTACTAGGTTGGATCGAGAGCTAGGATCCTCTTCAACATCTCTGCCATGACTGCGAGTCTTGAACTGCCCTTTTTCTGTGCGTTCACGTAGTGAGGAAGAAGCAAAACAGGTAGTGGAGCTTTTACTCTTCAGGGAACAACATCTCTTGTGACTGGATACTTTCTTCGCATTTGTGCGATGGCTCTGGTGTTCAGTAGGACTCAGAGCACGACCGACAGACTGAACTTCTTTAGCCGAAACACTTTCCTTGATTTCTTGCTTGTTATGCCCTAAACACCCAGGCTCAAATGAAAATCCAGCTCTCATTTCTCGCTTTTTAGCAATGTCCCAAAGCATCACCTTCGGGTACTGGTCTATCCATATGATAATCTTCTTATAGGTGGCCGTGGCTTTTTTATTGTTCTCAACCTTAACCGTAGGATGCTCTGGCCCACAGCTACTCCTTTTTTGCCAGTGCTCACCCAAAGTTGTATGATGACGGGACATGTATTCACAGTCACCACAGAGGCTGCCAACTGAGGATTTGGCAGCCTTTCCCAAAGACCCATCTGAACCAGCAAGTCTGGCAGGGCTTGGGAGCGTAATTTCATCATCATCTGTAAAAAAACAAAAACTTGTTAAATTGTGCAATGCATCAATCAACATCTGGACTTATTAAGCACTAAGAAAATCCCCTCTCTCACAATTTAAGTTTTTTTTTTTTTTGTTCCAAAGATTTAAACTAGGTCTGAGTGATCTAAATATCATTTTATTTTCTAACAAATACGTGAATTTTGATATTGTAGAGTTGCCCATTGACGGTAAATCAAAATGACTACTGTAACACAGCTTTTCAAAACACAACATTTAAGATATTCGAATATTAAATATCTAAGAAGATTTCTAGTCTGATATGACGATTACGATAACATATCCAAATATATTGCTTAGCCCTTTTATGAACCTATCAATGTTAGCATCATCAGATCATTTGAGCCATTGCCTGCGAGACAGTAGGTGAAACAAAAAGCTTAGGGGAGCTTTACTTTGTTTACTATCTTTTTTAACCCTTCTGTCGTGTTTCTGGTGTTTCTGGTCACATCTGACCACTTTGCTACTTTCAATCTTAAAAATTGTGTTTTACATTTAATTGCAAGGCACTTTAGTTACACCTGACGTAAATTCACAAGCTACCCTGCAGTATACAACGTCATTCAAACCAGCTGCACCTTTACCAGCTTTGTTAAAACACATTAATAATGCATCAATAATTATAATCAAAACACATAATATATATTATTCTGAAATGGAAAATGTGCATAATGAGTACTTTTACTTTTGGGACTTTAAGTATATTTTTATGCTAGTACTTTTGGAGCAACATTTTGATAACGGATTGTAACAACTGAGTATTCCTACACTTTTTGGTACTTCTACTTAAAAGCGCTGTGACGTACGATTTTCCCCCCATCATCCAAAACCCATAATTTGAGTAAATTGTCCCCTTGAACCGTTCACTTGAAACTGATTTTGGATCTTTGTACTTTGATACCATTAATCTGCCCTTCAAGTGTTGACCATTTTCCTGGATCTTCTCGGGGCTTTCTTCAAGTCCGCCAATTATTGGGTGACGTCAATGCGGGCACAGCGCTCCAGCTGCCACGTTCAGACGATCCCCGCATCTGATGTAAACGCACGATTGCGCACCAACAGCAGGCAAGCTCAGACAGCGATGACGTTTAATTTTGAACGTGTCGAGAGCTCATTATGAGGCTGAAGGATCTGGTTTGTTTTGTAATCTGTTAGAAATTTAGGAATTAGGGTGCGTCAATATGGCGATCATTTAGGTTCATGTAGCCAGTGGTGGACTGGGACTAAAAAATCAGCCCGGACTCTCGACCGGCCCATGGTCCACTAGTAATTGTCCAACGGGGAGTGGGATGTGCTCGTGACTTATCCGACCGGCCCACTTCGGACCGGCCCATCGGGATTTCGTTCCCGATGGCCAGTCCGCCACTGCAACCCAGCCCAGCCCACGTAACTGTCAACGGGGCGCCTCGCTGCGGGAAACGGTGGACGGAGTGGGATTCAATAATAATAGTAATACTAATAATAATAATAATAATCCGTGCATTTTATCCATTAATTTTCCCCAACATTGTTGGTAAAAAAACCACACGTTTAATCCATGTGGTGTATACTACTAAACAGTGGTGAGTGGGATGTTTTTACTGGTTGGCACGGGGTGGTGGGTGGACGGGAGCACTATGGGACGCGCTGTGAACTGTCAACGGGGGGGGGGGGCTTGGGACCTCTGTGATCGCCTGTCAGCGCAACTTACCATGAGCGTTTAGACAATATTAATACATAAAGGGCGGTGCCAGGCTGTCAAGGAACCGACTCCGGACCTTTCTGCGCGACCTCACTCAAATGCGGACATCAGTCTCAATGTGTGGGCACGCGGGACAAATAATAAAATGCTGGTGTGTGCACGTCCTGCCACAGGTGCAGGACACCTGGTCACCCTACACCACACAGTTCTGCCCCTCACACACACCGCTATTCAAATAGTTGATAAATGCCTTGAGCTACGTTTATTTTATCAATTACTGTGAATCTGCCGTCTTATGTTTTCGTCATTATACAACCAAACACACACTTGCACTGATACCACTGCAATGATTTTAATGTATTGACTATTAAAAAAAGAAATCATGCTTCAAATAAGTGGGGGGTTACGGGACGTACCCCCGCGTCCAACGCACTACACCAGCTGATCTGCACT